TTCAGTAGACTAGTGATAGTCGGGGGTGGGGGAGTTGGGGGGTTGGGGTGGTGGTGAGGGACGACAAACCCACAGCTTTGGGGATGCTTGGCAAGAACTCTACCAGATCCAGCTACAACCCTAGCCCCCAATGTTGTGTTTTTTGTTTTGTTTTGTTTTTTCCTGAGACAGGGTTTCTCTGTGTAGCTTTGTGCCTTTCCTGGAACTCACTCTGTAGACCAGGCTGGCTTTGAACTCACAGAGATCCGCCTGGCTCTGCCTCCCAAGTGCTGGGACTAAAGTCATGCGCCACCGCCGCCCGGCCCAATGCTGTGTTTTTAAGAAACATTGGTTTTTCTGATTATAAAATTAACACATTTGGAGTAGAAAGTGTGGAAAAGGCAGAAATAAAATGGAAAATCAACAACTTTTAAAGCCAGAGTGTCATTTCAGCTGTTTGTCTTTCATCCCTGTGTGCATACATTTGTTACTTTTTTAAAATTTGGTTTTCCAAGACAGGGTTGCTCTGTGTAGCCCTGGCTGTCCTGGAATTTGATCTGTAGAGCAGGCTGGCCCTGAACTCACAGAGATCTGCCTGTCTCTGCCTCCTGAGTGCTGGAATTAAATGCTGGAATTAAAGGTGTGCACTACCACTGCCCAGCTACATTTATGATTTTTTTTGTAACTAGGATCAAACAATAAACTTTTTTTAACAGTATCTTTTGCTGCAATTTAAATTTTTATTTTTTATGTATATTGGTGTTTTGCCTGCATGTATGTCTCTGTTAGGATGTCAGGTCCCCTAGAACTGAAGTTATAGACAGTTGTAAGCTGCCATGTGGGTGCTGGAAATTGAATCTGGGTCCTCTGGAAGAGCAGTCAGTGTTCTTCACCACCGAGCCATCTCTCCGGCCCTCTTGCTGCAATTTTATTGTTGGGTATCTGATTTGGTCTCTGTGCATTTGAAAACTGGTTGATTTATCTCCACATCACAATGAATAAATATATCCCTTCATGTATGCCAGTTTCAGCATACAGGATGCAGCCCCAGCTACCAATTACAGCTGCAAATGAGCAGTAGTGTGGAATGAGAGACAGCCTGCTGGCTCTGTCAGAATTCTGTCTCCGGGGTCGGGGGTGGGATGGGGTGGGGGGCTTTGTTGAAGAGAAGCCCTTGGCTCATGGTTATTGTGCTTGCCACCGGCTTCAGACTTCCCCTCTCATTAGTTCCTTTAGAGTACCTGGGTGAAGACAGCTGCAGTCTGCTTGGGTCTTCCTTTCCTGGTGTCCTGAAGGCTGAGTCTACTGTGCACTTCCTGTAATCTGCTGGCTCAGTGTGACTTTGGTCTACGGTGTCTATGTGGGCAATTTCAGCAATTTTCCATGTTTCAAACATAATTTTAAAACAACTTTCTTGAGATTGGATGATCTTAGTCTATAATTTACTCTCTTAGTGTGTGTGATTCCATTGACTCAGGAACTTCCGGGCTCAGTCTGTGCTCCCCTTCTGGTCTCCTGAGTAACTGGGACTACAGGTGTGCCACCATGCCACACTTGTTATTTATTTAGTTTGGGTGTATGTCTGTCATGATGAGGAAGCTATGGCTTCAGGATTTATTTATTTATTTATTTATTACATTTTGTGAGTCAGGGGCCCATGCATCCAGGCTGGCCTTGAACTTGTTTACAGCCCGGGGTAGCCTAAAACTTTCGATTCTCTTGCATCAACCTCCCAGTTACTAATAATAGAAAGCTGTGTAACTAGGCTCAGTTTCTGTGGTGCTGGGGATCCAATCCAGTCTGTTCTGCATGGCAGGCAAGCATTCTCCCATCTGACCTATGTTCTGGGTCAGTAGGCACTCATTTTTCCATGTGTCCTAGCTAGCTTTACTGTCGTCACCTTAACACAGCCTGGAGTTACCTGAGAAGAGAATCTCAATTTAGGGATTGCCCAGATCAGATGGGTGGGGGATTATCTTGATGGGTGACTGATGTAGAGGGGCCCCACCCTGTAGCACAAATCCTAATCAGTCTTAATAATAAAAACCCAGAGCCAGATATGGGGGTAAATGCTGAAAGATCAGTAAAGCAGAGCAACCAGCCTCTGGAGAGACTTCTTAACTCTTCCGAATCCTCAGCCTGAAAGGGCCGAGCTCCTATCTCCACCTGCCTTATCACTTCCTCTCTCTGCCCAGCCATATTTTCTTCTCCCAAGTGCTGGGATGAAAGGTGTGTGCCACCACTGCCTGGCCTCTAGTGGCCAGCCCCGCACTCTGATCTCCAGGCAAGCTTTATTTGTGAGAGCACAAACATTGCCCACTGTGGGCAGCACTGTTTCCTGGACAGGTGGTCCTGGACTGTGTAAGGAAATCTAGCTGAGCAAAGTGTGAGCAAGTCTAGTGAGGAGCTTTCTTTCCTTCCAGTCTCTGCTTCAAGTTCTTGCCCGACTTCCCTCAGCAATGGCCTGTGACCCAGAAGTATAAGCCAGATAAATCATTTCCTCCTATTGTTTTTGGTCATGCTGTTTGTCGCAGTAGTAGAGTGAACATGTGCGTCTCTAGTTAATTCTGTAGCAGATGAGTCAATCTACTGGACCAAAGTATATGGGCAGGTTTCTGACTAGTGAAAAATGAGAAGTTACCTTCCAAAAATGATGTTACATTTTGCCTTTTGAAAGAAGATTCTGGAGATTGCCAGATGCAAGTGTTAGTTGTTATTATGCAGTGGCACTGTGTTATTCATTAAGCGGCGTGTTTACCATGCAAGAAAAGCCATGAGGCACAACAAAATCCACTATAAGAGTTTATTAAGAGAAGGAACAGAGGGGAATGTGCTTAGGCCTATGAAGATAGTCATGCAAGGAGAGAGAGGGAGAAAGGGGGGGAGGAGTCTGTGACCCACTTTTTATGGATTCCCCTGCACATGTGCATATGGGCTTAGGTAGCTACACCAGGCATGTGCATAGATTATGTGACCACGCAGGGCATGGATCACGTAGGGTATAAGGGATAACTAAATCTCTTGTTTGGCTCCTGGACAACGCATGTGCGGTCATGTAGCTGGGGGAGTGGCCAGGAATTCCAACAACAAGTCAATTTGTGTTTTGTCTACCAAGGTCAGAACCTTGAATGTCCCTGCCAAGGACCCCTCTAGAGCTTCTGCAAGCCAGTTGCTGCTGGCTCCAGAAAAGCCTGGTGTTCGAATCTCCAAATCAGAAGGATCCTGGTTCTGCAAGGCTTTGTGTTGTTGTAACATTTGTGGAGATCCTTGCAAATGTCATGGCTGACAGTGAAATGATCTGCAGAGAGGCAGGAATGAAACGCCTTTCAGCACCACTTTAGTTAGCCAGGCTGGTTCAAACTTCTCGAGTCTGACTCCGAGTGATTTATTTTTTACATATTTAAACACAGTAAAACTCGTGACAATTATCACAACAAATCTTTTTTGTTTGTTTTTGAAGGCAGGGTTTCTCTGTGTAGTTTTGGAGCCTGTCCTGGAACTCACTTGGTAGCCCAGGCTGGCCTCAAACTCACAGAGATCCACCTGCCTCTGCCTCCCGAGTGCTGGGATTAAAGACGTATGCCACCACTGCCGGCTTATCACAACAAATCTTAAAGAATCTGATTACACTGAAACTCTCTTGCAAAGTACATGTCTTTTGCTAAGCACCTGTGACCTCTTCCATGAGAATGGGTTCCATTGACTAAAAAACAAAACTCAGGGTAAGAGCTTAGGGAGAAAGAGTTTGTGTTAAAGATTTATTTATTTTATATGAGTGTTCTATCTGCATGTACTACTTTATGTCCTAAGAGGGCATCAGATCCTGTTATAGATGGTTGTGAGCCACCATGTGGTTGCTGGGAATTTAACCCTGGACCTCTGGAAAGGCAGCCAGTGCTCTTAACCACTGAGCCATCTCTCCAATGGGAGAAGGGTTTGTATTAAGCATAAGGATGGTTATGTTGACTGAGAAACAATTCTCAGAAGTCTGGGGGGTTTGGACGAAGCCTGGCTTTACAGCATAGCCAAAGATCACCAGTTAGTAAATAGCATCCACTCCAGGCTTCCAGGAGAACTAGGCATCAGTTTCGTCTGCTGAAGAATAAAGCCTGTGTGTTTTAACA